GATAAAAGCGTCTGCTAAATGATTAAATGTAAATGCTTAGGTTTATGATCAAAACTCTGCAGTTTCAAAACGTATAATGCAATGGAATATAATGATTAAGAGAAGAACAAATAAACAATCCTCAAAAGCCTGATGGATCATATTTAATAATGACATTTTAACATGATTTTTCTATGGATAATCAAGTAAACCTAAGTTGCGTCAGTCCAGTAAGTGTTCATCTTGAAATATTACTAACAATATAAAAGCTATTCTAACTTTTACTTTAAAATATCAGTAAATATTTCACAGCAAAAGGACAAGTGAACCACGACTTTCACAATTGTACTAAAAAGGCCTTTTACTTGCTAGAAAATTCGAAACTATCAATCAGACAAAAAGGATGTTGATTCAAGAACACGTCCTACTGATGTCAACCTCCTAGGGTGTAGTAGTCTAGAGGTTAAAGCTCTGGGCTGCTAACCAAAAGGATTTAGGTTCAAACCGATGCATGATCCATGAATCATGTTCATTGTGATCGGGACACTTATCGTGAGGTTACTGTAGGAGGATGGAACTTGTTGCAAGTGTACTGTAGGTCACGTTGAATCGTGAATGACAAATTAGGAAATTACCTCCTGTTTTTGTTTCAGTGGCCGTGAACCGTACAGGTTTATTGTCATCAGAGGGAGGGACCAGAGCTCACGATTGGTTATTTTTAGCATGTCCCTTAATCATTCCTGCTTGACATATTCTAACTTCTCAGAACAACGCAGGAAGGCCTCCCGTTTCCCTCCGTTCATGTCAATGTCACCGCACTTTCAAAGGAGGGTTTTACACGTCTATATGCAGCCCTGACACTATTATCAAACCGAGCCGAACTCATATACGATCAAACACGGGCCGGCTCATGCACACAGAGCTATAAACACTTGTATAGCACTGCAGGCCTAAAATAACTCGTGCGAGACTGCCCACTGAATGAAGAATGACCTCGTCCAGCAGTGTTTGGGTGTGGGACAACAGAGGAACATATGGTATCTCTAGCATGATGCAGATTTATAAAATTATTATTTTTTTATAAATCTACATGTACATCATGCTAGAGATGCCATATTACTTTGTTGCATTATAATAAGTTTCTTTTCTTTTCTCTCAGACTCAAACAGGAAGAAAATTATTTGAAAGAAATTAGACATTTGTATGCAAGGAGATTTTGCCATTAAGCTTCACTTCTGTGTAACAGTTCTTAAATCATAAACTTGCGTCCAAACGTATGATTTTTTTTTCTTGAACGAAATTAATGCTTTTGTTGAGCAAGGACACATTAAATTGGTTGAAAGTCAAGTCAAGTCAAGTCATCTTCATTTATATAGCGCTTTTAACAATGGAGATTGTTTCAAAGCAGCTTTACAGAGATAAACATACAATTTACGGTAACAGAAATTGTTTTGGCTTTATAGCGATTTTGAATAATGTTATTTCCGGCTAAAGTTGGTTTTGATTGATTCACTTCACTGAAAGTGACAGTAGAGACATTTAAAATGTAAAATAATTCAAATAAATGCTGAATTTTCTAATCTTCAAAAATTCCTAAAAAAAAGTATAGTTTCCACACACGTGTGCAGAACTATTTTCGACATTGATGATGATAAATATTTCTTGAGCAGCAAATTAGAATGATTTCTGAAGAATCATGTGACACTGAAGACTGGAGTTATGATGCTGAAAATTCAGCTTTGCATACAATATATTAATATATTTTAAAACATTCACATAGAAAACGGCAGACTTGGTGAGCATAACATAACTTTTTTTTTTTTTTTTACATAAATCTTATTGACCCCAAACTTTTGAACAGTAGTGTATGTCTTCTCTCAGGTCCAGTGGAAGTTTAAACGCTGTGGTAAGAGTTCCCATGAGCACCACTGAGTCCTCAAGCAGAACCAAGCCATGAACCAGTCTCTCCCTTTTCACATCTTTCTCTCTCTCGCTTGGTTTCAGTCTACTGGGAGCCAAAGTCCCATAACCCCCTGCGCATGAACACACATCAGCATGTCACACTCTTTCATACGTGGATCAGATAAAATGTCTGGAAAATCTTTTTTGGTGCCCTTTTTGGATCCGGTATACATTTTTTTTGGTGTGTGTTTCAGCCATGACCTCCGCCCACATGAGTCACGTCCCCTCCATTCTGACTCCTTTCTTCTAATAAGGCAAAAACACACATGGGTCTCGGCCGTCCCTGACCTGTGCTGCTTTATCCTGTTTCATCATCAACACACCCCTTTCTATCAATTCCTATTTTAGTCCAACTCTCCTGCTTGAAACACATCAGTCCTTTTCATACACTGATGATGCAGGTGCTATTTATACATGGACACAAATGGAAAACTGTTCGAAAACTTAGTTATAGTTGCAGTGGCGGAACTAGAGTTTTAGACGTGGTGGCCATAGACCATAAAAGAAAATGATGTGTAACCCTATCCTGCCATCAGAAAAGCATAAATCCTATTACAGACTACTTTACATTACCTCACATTAGCTAAACATTCCTATACTGAACTTATGACACTGTGACTGCATTGCATGTATTACTAGCATGGATGTAAACAATGTGTGTAGGGCTAAATTTGGAATTCTCCCATTTGTTTTATCTGATTAACTGTGTTTGGCATTTATGTTATTATTATACTAAAGCCAAAATACATTAAAGGGACAATGTGTACTTTTTTAAGGATTTTATTATCAAAAATCAATATTTTTAATTCATAAATATGTCCTCAATGGTGTACCTCTGCCAATTATCTGACTTATCCTCATAAACGAAGAATTTATTATCTTTATATACATGGGACGGATAGGTCCACGGAGGCATCCATGTAGTTCCGCCATCTTGAAAAACTATAATAGCAGAGAGGGACAAAAAGTACCAGGCCAACGCGTTTCCACAACGCGTTTTCGTTCAGAGCCAGCGTAACTGAAAGCAGCAGAAACGGAGGAGCAGAGCAGTGAGAGGCGCTTTTCACTGCCCCGGCAAGTTTAAAAGGCTGCATTGCACTGTTATTTTTAATGGCGGACCATACATATGCGAGCCACAGGAGAAGGAATCCCCGTCGCCAAAAAAGTCCAAAATAGAACGTAAAAGGAACCGTGACCGGAGATCACAAAAAACAAGTGCTATTAGAAAACATCCTGTAATAGCTTTTTGGTACATGACCGTAGATGTAACAAGCATTTGAAAAAGCTAGGCGCTGGAGAGCACAATTCGTTTGAATGCAAAATTCAATTTCACCACTAGATGGGAGAAATTCCTACACAATGTCCCTTTAAGATTATTATAAATTAAAAAATACCGTATATACCCGAATATAAGACGACCCCCCATTTTCCAGACTTATTTTTGGGGGAAAATAGATTTTTGTGGAAAAAATCTGGTTTTCAACAGAAAATAATTTTAAGAGCAAATTTCCGAGGCGTTGTTCCAAATGCCTCGCATCACCTGTGCCTCGTGTAGAGACCGGGACATATGCGCTTCCTGATTGGCCATGACTGCGGTTGCCCTGAGTGCGACGGGATGGATTTAACCACCCTGCGGGCAGTGCGGGGTCGTCTGGCTGTTTTCGACTACGATCCGGCTCCCGCTCTCTCTCTCTCACTCACTCTGCTCGAGCCGCGCAAGAAAAAGCGCCGTTCACAGAGGATGCCAAAGCGGACGGAGACAAGCGAGCAGAGACATATATCGCGTCTTTTGCGCGCTCAAGTTCATTTGCTGCGTCCCAATTCGCCTACTTATACTACGCCCTAAAAGTATGTAATCTTTTTGTGAAGAAAAAGTACATACTTTTGAGTGTGTAGCAAAAGAGTAGGCAAGCTTTGGGACATACTACGGTACTTCGTCATCTTTAACGGACAGATCTGTCGCGTGCATCCTATCATCGTAAACTGCCCTGTCAATCATCTCGTCACAGTTAAAATCCTCCATTCAATCTAATATAACTTCTTACATTTCGGTGAGAATTGTCGCACGTTCATCTGCCAGTCGTGGGTCTTTCAGGCGGAGACTCTCCTCATGTGTTTGGAATTTGAATATAATAATGCATTTAAAAGTTAATGGCTAAACGTATCTTTGCAAAAGTTCACAATGCTGCTGCAGATGCAATATAATGTGGACAACATTGAATAAATACATTTTCGTCAGGTTAGATACTGATAATTAATCACTCAAACCCCTTTATCTAAAGCTCTCTACATAACCGTCGGACTCGCGCGTCCTCCATGTCTGTAGTTTTTGAACACTTTTCATTCGTGTTTGTAGTTTTAGCCGAATCCTCGTCCAACGCGCGATGGGTTGTGGGCAATATCAGCCGTTAGAGTCATAGACTATGGTTAGAGTGCGCATCGATCTGCACTTCGGATTCTGACCGGATATAGTAGACCATCCGGGTCTCTTTGGGACACTCATTTCAACATACTACGATTTGGGACGTACTAATTCTATTTTCGAATACTATTTAGGACGGATAGTATGCGAATTGGGACGCAGCAAATGTTTCAAATGTAGGCGCGCGGTATGCGCGCTCATAATGGAAGCGACGCGCTCGTTTTTTCCAAGCGCGTCCGCGCAGCATCGAGATCCTCGGCGCGGGAGAAAAAGGCTATCAATCGATTCCTCCATTCGAATATAAGATGACCCTGAATATAAGACGACCCCCCATTTTCCAGCCTATTTTTAGGACAAAAACCTCGTCTTATATTCGGGTATACGGTAATTATCCAAAATGATTTTTCACAATACGTATTATTTAGGTCAAAGCATTTTAAAACTTTTTTTTTTTGAAATTTCCAAGAAGTCCCAGATCCAGTTTGAAAATCCCTGATTTAAGCACTTTGATAGGCGTTTATGAATTACTGATCTGCTAACCATTTATGACTAAATGAAAGTTATTCGTTTTCCCTATTTGATGAAAATGTCCTACACAACATCAATATTAATTAAATCTTAATTAAGAAACAGAGACTGAATATAAAAAGTAATTTATTATCTTATTCTAAATAAAAAATAAAATAAAAAATAATCCTCACAGGCTCAGAGATCCACTGGTGAAATGAATGTGCGTCTCGTATCTCTGGCTCACATTTAAAGCTCCTCCTGACCGCTGCGTCTCTGTCCGAGTTCAGTCAGTGACCTCATCACATCCTCCAGTGGTTTCTGCCCGAGCTGCTTCCCTCCTCTCGTCCGCACGCTCACGCTCCCGCTTTCACGCTCTTTCTCTCCGACCACTGCACGACAAACAGAGCAAGGTTTGCTTGATCTGACCTTTTCTTAATAGGCCCCAGAACACTCATTCTTTACACATGTGTTTTCTGGATGGGAACAATTAAACCATTAAAACACTTAAAGCTGAAGCGTGTCATTTCTGCACTACACACAACTGCAAAAATCATATGTGGGATAAGAGAAAGCATTTCTGTGTTTCGGTCAGGCTTTAAAAAAACACTTAATATACAGTAATATTACTGAATTAATTCACTTTTGCAACATCAACACTGCTATTGAACCGAATTGAATCAACACTGAACTAAATCGAGCTGAATAGTCTTTTTAGAGCTGTTTACAGCAGAATTTCAATGAAGTTTGATTCATTGACTTATTATACTGTTTATTACTGTTTTAATTTTGATTATTTTACTCTCCTCTATGTAAAGCACTTTGAATTACCATTGTGTATGAAATGTGCGATATAAATAAACTTGCCTTGCCTTACTATGAGGCTGCTTTGAAACAATCTGTGTTGTATAAAGCTCTATATAAATAAAGGTGACTTGACTTAAAATATGGCAACGTCCCAGACTAAATCCTTACCGAATATATAATTGTACTGTGCAAGCTGCGCAGAGCGGATTTTCTTATTTAAGGTGTTGCCACGATCATCATCAATATCAGCCATGAACCCAGCTTCCCTCAGTCTGCAGACCACCTTAAACCCAGAGCACAATGCATCAAACACCCAGAACTATCCATACAATGTTTTTATATATAAATGAAGTTTGTCCAGAGAGTTGTTTCTCCTGACCTCTTGGCCATATGTCTCACTGTCGCCTCCTACTGGCACAACCATCACCTGTGCTGGAGACAGCCAGAAAGGCCTGAGAAAGAAAGAAAAATGAGAACTTTACCAATTCCAGACATCACTGAACTCACACACGAACATGCACACACACCATTTCCCTCCAAAGTTTTCGGCCAGGATGGCGATCATCCTCTCCAAGGACCCCAGCACTGCCCGGTGTATCATGATCGGCCTGTGCATCTGCCCATCAGCCCTGAAACACAGAGATCACATGACATCAACTTACAGACTCTCAAATAGAATATGGAGAACAGGGCGTTTAACATATTCTAAGGATTATAAGCATTAATGTGATATTCAGTCAGTATTTATTGTACTGCCTTTGATTTTCCATTTTTTTCAGAATATATAAGCCACATTTTGTATCATCTGAAATATGCTGGGACATAAAATACAATGCGACTCATATAATGCAATTAACGTGAAGCACACAAAGTGCACACATTTGGATTCATGCCGAATGAGAGCGGTACGCGAGCACAAAATACTTGAAATAAAAGTTAAATAAGAGTTACACTTTATTTTAAGGTTTCTTAGTTACAGTGCAATTATACATTTAAGTTCTGAGTAATATTAATTAACTACATATGCATAATTACAACCAATTAACCCAATTAAGTACAAGTTATTATTAATTTAAATATCTTTATTACTATATTACAAATAGTTATATTACTATAGGTTACTACATGCAACAAGGACAAAATATTTACCCAACAAACTTATTTCATCTAGTTGCCAAAGCAACACTTCTCATTTTCATTTAGTTTAGCATGATGCACTAAAATAGCAAACTAAAACAGAAACAAAAATTAAAAACTATATAGACATAAAAAAAAAAAATTCACACTTCATTAAATTAACTTGATGCACTAAAATAGAAAACTAAAAGTAAACTATATATAGACATTTAAAAAAATAAAATGATAAAAAACAAAATTACTAAACTTTAGAATTAAAAATGTACTTGAGGCACTAAAATAAACAAAAACTAAAATATAAAATAAAAACTATATGGACATATTTAAAAAACAATAACCAATAAAAAGTATAAAAAACAACAAAATTACTAAAACTTTAATGAAAAATAAATTTGAGGGACTTAAATAGAAAACTAAAACAAATATAAATTAATAAAAACTATATAGACATTTAAAAACAATCGATAACTAAAAAAAATAACAAAAATTACTAAAACTTTAAAATTAAAATGAAAAATACAAAAACTGTGGGAATTACTAGAAGCTTACAAGTAAAACCGCACGATGCACATAATGAGGATTGTGGGGAAATCTGCTTAATGTTTATCAAAATAATTTCACATTGTAGAAAAACGTCTTAAAACAGGCTTCATTTTCTTCATGCAAAATATAATTTCACATAATTGTTCATATTTTATTCAGATTCTGGGTAAAAAGTGAGCTAAACATCTATATGTGAGCGTATCAGTCAGGAGAGATCTTACCCAATATACTGCAGGTTAAATCTGATGGGCAGCTGGAAGTCCAGCTGAATCGTGGCACACTGGTGCTGTCGGCCCAGGGCATCCCGTATCTGGATGTCGATCTGAACAGATTGTAAAAGAACAAAATGAAGTGCCAGCTGAACACCAAATTTCTCTTTAGCATCTAACAAGGGACGAATTACTGAGGTACAAGCTTCACTGCTCAGAAACTGATGCGTTTAAAAACTCTGGAAAAACTGCGTAACTTAATGCACATCTAAAAGTTAAGAAATTAATACTTTTATGCAGCAAGGATACATTAAACTAATCAAAATTGACAGCCAACACATTTATAATGTTACAAAAGATTTCCATTTCAAATAAATGCTGTTCTTTTGAAATGTGATCTGTTGAGTAGTTTCCACAAAAATATGAAGCAGCACAACTGTTTTCAACACTGATAATAATAAGTAATATTTATTGAGCTCAAATCAGAATATTAGAGTGATTTCTGAAGGATCATGTGACACTGAAGACTGGAGTAAGGATGCTGAAAATTCAGCTTTGATCACAGGAATAAATTACATTAAGATATATTACAATAGAAAACAGTTTAACAAACAGGTATTTAACAAGATTACCGGTAAATTTGGGGGTTAGTAAGGGGTTAGTGTTAATGTGTTAATAAACTTTATCAACATCAAGGTTAAAAATGTATGAGGGAAAGTGAATATCCCTTTTTCACCATTTGGTTTCACTAGTACATTTTTTTTTTTCATGCAGTGTCCGGCACAGGGTCTCTCTTTCTGCCGGCCTCGCTCACCTTGGGTCCATAAAACGCCCCATCTCCGGGGTTTAACTCCCAGTGCTCCTCAAACTGCTTGAGACTGCTCTCCAACTGCTGCTCCGGGACAAATACGAGAGAGAGAGAGAGAGAGAGAGAGAGAGAGAGTCATTTCAGAGGGAAATCTGGAATGTGTCAGTGAACAAGTTTGGCCCTGGAAGCACTAATAAAAGAACCTTCTGTAAACATCTAATTCAATAATCCCAAAATATGCAGAGCCGAAAACAGCATTAGTTTGAGGAAGAGAGCGCTAGGAGAGATATTACAGTTTCCTTGTTTATCCCCCCCCCCCCCCAAAAAAAAAATCAGACAACCCTGCCTGAAAACCACATCCATCCTTATAAAGCAAAGGCCTTCCGCAGTGCGCTCAACACTGACAGCCTTATATACGGCATACTCAGCTTTGATTGGCTTACTGATTCTCTTCACACATTGGCTGTATGTTTCCCTCCTCTGACACTCATGACCTACTCGCCTCATTCCACACTGTGACCCTGATGATCAACATGAATGGATCCTTGTCACGTAACCCGTCTGTTTGGACCTGCCCTACACTTACTCCGCATGTTTCCTATAGTGTCTCACCGCATATGTTGGTACATGTACAGACAGAATCGTATTATCCTGACACCAGATGCAGGAACACAAACAGCCTTCTGCGTCATGCACCAGTGTTGTTAACTAAAACTACTAAAAATTGCTCAGCAATTGAAATAAAGTTGAAATGAAATCTAAATATTAGATGATTTTAAATTAGAAACACTGCCTAGGCAACTGACTGATATGATATGCCTAAATAAATATGATTAAGCTTAAGAACAAAAATGATTAAAACTGAAATAAAATGATAAATTAATGCTAAATAGAAATATAAAAAAAATACAAAAAAGCACATAAAACTACTAAAACTTAAAATGAAAAGAAAATATGATGTTCAATTAAAATAAAATATAAATATTACATTTTAAATTTAAAATGATGCCTTGGCAACTAACACACACACATATATATATATATATATATATATATATATATATATATATATATATATATGTGTGTGTGTATATATATATATATATATATATATTAAGTTGAAGTACTAAAATTACAAAAACCAAAACACAATTATAAATTTATGCAAAACAGAAATATTTTTTAAAATCTAATAAAAATGATAAAAGCTCATAAAAACAAAATAAAATTAAATATAATATACAATTTTTAAATTAGACACGTTGCCTCGGCAAATAACAGAAATACATATGATTAAGCTGAAGTACAAATATTACTAAAACTGAAATAAAAATAAATAAATGCTAAATAGAAATATATAAAAAAAACGATGACAAAATTGAACAACAAAATTACTAAAACCTTAATTAAAAGTAAATAATGTTTAAATAATTAAAAGTAAATTAATGTTGAAATAAAATAAAATGACAAAAGCTCATAAAATTACTAAAACTTTAAATGAAAAGTTGAAATAAAATTAAATATAAACATTAGAATATTTTTAATTAGAAATGTTGCCCTACGCCACTAACAGAAATCAAAAAGTTGAAGTACTAAAATAAATACAAATAAATTAATGCTAGATAGAAACCTTAAAAAAAATTAGACAAAAGCAAAAATCACAAAATAATTAAAACTTAAAATTAGTGAAAATATTAAAATAGGCTAATTTAAAATATTAAAAAGTACTATAATAGTATATAAATAATACTAAAATAACACTGTGGTGATCAACAGGTGAGGGAGTGATTGACAGGCGTACCTGTTCAGCACAGTCCCAGAGGGCGGGCTCTCCCAGACAGGGCGTGGGTCGTGTGGAGAGGAGACAGTGAAAGGAGAAACCGAAGACGCGATATACGCTCCTCACAAAGTCCAAACATGCCGTGATCTCCTCCTCCAGCTGAAGAGAGAAAAGAGACGCAGCAACGAATAAACAAGTGAAGGGCGTGTATGAGAGACAGTATAAACACTGACATTATAAAAGATAAATCATACGTCAGTCCAAATACAAACGAGTGAGACGCATTCCTTACATGGAAGACCAAAGCAAGAGCTGCACAAACATACAGACACAAAAACACTGTTTTATATGACAAATAATGTGCTACATAACATAATTGTTGGGCTTCCTCAAGTCAAGAGAGAGAAAATTACATGCTTTACTTTCAGAAATAAAGATGGAAAACAAGGAAATTCAAATAAATAGGGTAAAAAATTAAGGTTTTGTTAATGTATTAAGACACACAGCTTTTGTTTAGAAGACCATTTATATGGGGTCACAGGCGATCATTTTGTGATTTGAAGCATTCGTTATGTGGTAATTAAGTTTAGCTAACTGTAATAACTTTAACCGTAAGGAAGTCAATTATATACTTTAATCCGGGTAGCACCATATTTCATTTTTGGCAGGAATGAAAACGCAGATAGTGCATTCAATGGATTGTACTGTTGTTTGACAACATACCGATTGTTCAGATGATGAAACCTCTTTCAGAAAAAAAAACAACAACAACTACTTTCCGTAGACCTATGACCAGCTTCGTCTCTATACTGGCGAGATGAATCCAATCTTCAAGCAAAAGAAACTGGATGAATTTTTGAATGCTATCGATCCACAATCTAAGTTATGACTTGTGATGCTGCCTGAATCATAATCACACCGTGTTCGTTCGAAGCCCCGCCGACGGAGCCTGGTTTCTCCCAAAGTATTTTTCCTCCATTTTTTGTCACCTGATGGAGTTTGGGTTCCTTGTCACTGTCGCCTCTGGCTTGCTTGGTTGGGGACACCCAACTATTCAAATAGTTGGGACTATCCAGCTTGGTCAAGGCAGAATGGAGTGACGTAGAGATGGCATCCTCTGAACACCAATTTGTGCGATAGGCAAATTGGTGAGGGTCCAGGGCAGTGGGAAGACTGGCTTTCAGATGTGGTAAGACCAGCCTCTTGAAGCACTTTATGGGGGTGAGTGCAACTAGGCAGAAGTTGTTCAAGGCTGAGGCACTGGAATGCTTTGGCACCGGCACAATGGTGGCGGTCTTAAAGCGGTTGGGGACAACTTCAAAAGCCAGGGACAGATTGAAAATGCCCGTGAGACCCCACCCAACTGCCCCACACAGACTCTGAACACTCGTCCATTCCATCTGCGCCACTTTACATCCACCCTACTCAAGGTATTATAAAACTCAGTGGAGGAGAGTGAGATGCAATTAGCCAGGTTATCTCCTTATTACCCTGGTCAAAGCGAGCATAGAAGTGGTTAAGGTCGTCGGGAAGAAAGGTAGAATTGGATGGGGGCACAAAACTGAATGTCTTGTAATCTGCAATAGTCTGAATGCCTTTCCACATACATCGGGGGTCTGTGTCGTCGAAGTGCTCCTCAATCCACTTTTTGTAAGCATATTTAGCCTTGATGATGCCCCTCTTGTGGTTGACCCTGGCTGAGCTATAAGCTCCCTGGTCACCAGACCTAAAAGCTGCATCTCTGGCTGTGAACGAAAAGCAAACCCCCCAGTTAATCCAAAGATTCAGGCTAGGACAAACTTTTATTTGTTTTAGTGACACCCCACAGTCAAACACACTCGCTGAAGTGATCTGTGGTGGCATGTGCAGCAAACACACTCCAGTCTGTGTGTTGGCCAGATGAACCTCTGACCAGATCTTGATGGTTTTCATCGTGGGTCATCTCGCTTGATGACCTGGCTATACTCTGTGAGTAAGAACAAAGAGAGATGGTCAGACAGTCCGAGATGGGGGACGGGGTTGCACCAGCAACAGTGTAGACATGGTCCAAGATTGTATGTGCTCTTGTAGAGCATGAGACATTCTGATAGAATCTAGGAAGGATGCAAATAGGTTGCAATGATGGAAGACCCCAGCAACAATAAAGGCCCCGTCTGGATGTGATGTCTTTCATGGCCATTATAACGTTGCTTCCGGTGGAACAAATCACAGAAGCAATTATGCCATTGAACTCCTGTGGAAGGTAAAAGTGTCTGCACTTAATAAACAGATATTCCAAATCCATAGAGCAGTGACGATGGTAGAGTTAGAACACCATGATTTATTCACATACATGCATACACCACCTCCCCTGCTTTTACCTGTTGCTGCTGCTGTTCTAACAGCCCTGAAAACCATTTTCCCATCCATTTCTATCACACTGTTTGAAATGTCGCTGTTCAGCCATGTTTCCGTAAAAAAAACACACAACAACATCAAGTTAACAGTCCATAAGCCTTCCCTGTGTGAAGATCCAAGTCTTTAGTTCGTCCAACTAGTTTGTCAGAGACCTCACACTGGCGAGGAAAATACTAGGCAGCGCTCGCTGATGAGGGTTTAGCCTTAGCCTAGCACAAAGACTTCCACGCTTCCCCCGTCTCTGTTTGCAGTCTTGACGCTGGAGCCGAGCACTTACGCAGATTGCCTGCAGATCCGCGGTGCCCTTAATAACTCCAGCGGGAATTTAAAGTTGAATGAATAGCCCAAAACTGTGTTGCTACAACGGTAGTTTTTATCCAAAAGTGACTGTCTGCTATAAATATAGTTTGCGTAAGACATTGAGCCTCACTGCCACCTCTTGTGCAGTCCACTGCTGAATCTGCTTGACAGATGCTTCTGCTTGGTCTAAAAGTCCTCTACAGGCAGGCAGCTATAATTGTATCTAATATTTATATACACAAATTATATAAAAAAAGAACTCCTTAAAATGTACTATATTGCCAAAAGTTTTACACATGCACATGAATTTAATGACATCCCATTCTTAATCCGTAGGGTTTCATATGGAGTTGGCCCACCCTTTGCAGCTATAACAGCTTCAACTCTTCTGGAAAGCCTTTCCACAAGGTTTAGAAGTGTGTTAATGGGAATTTGACCATTCTTCTAGAAGCGCATGTGTGAGGTCAGGCACTGATGTTGGATGAGAAGGCTTGGCTCGCAGTCTCCGCTCTAATTCATCCCAAAGGTGTTCTATCAGGTTGATGTCAGGACTCTGTGCGGGCCAGTCAAGGTCCTCCACACCAATCTCGCTCATCCATGTCTTTATGGACCTTGCTTTGTGCTCTGGTGCGCAGTCATGTTGGAACAGGAAGAGGCCATCCCCAAACTGTTCCAACGAAGTTGGGAGCATGAAATTGTCCAAAATGTCTTGGTATGCTGAAGCATTAAGAGTTCCTTTTCACTGGAACTAAGGGGCCAAGCCCAACCCCTGCAAATCAACCCCACACCATAATCCCCCCTCCACCAAACATTTTACACTTGGCACAGTGCAGTCAGGCAAGTACCGTTCTCCTGGCAACCGCTAAACCCAGACTCGTCCTTCGTATTGCCAGACAGAGAAGAGAGATTGGTCACTCCAGAGAACATGTCTCCACTGCTTCAGAGTCCAGTGGCGGTGGCTTTACACCACTGCATCCGACTCTTTGCATTGCACTTGGTGATGTAAGGCTTGGATGAAGCTGCTCGGCCATGGAAACCGATTCCATGAAGCTCTACGCACTGTTCTTGAGCTAATCTGAAGGCCACACAAAGTTTGGGGGTCTGTAGCTATTGACTCTGCAGAAAGTTGGCGACTTCTGTGCACTGTGTGCCTCAGCCTGTGCTGATCCCGCTCTGTGATTTTACATGGCCTAGCCACAAAGTGCTATAATACCACTAACAGTTGACAGTGTAATATTTAGTAGTGAGGAAATTTCACGAATTGAATTATTGCACAGGTGGCAACCTATCACGGTACCACACTTGAATTCACTGAGCTCCTGAGAGCGACCCATTCTTTCACAAAGCAGTCTGCATGCCTAGGTGCATTGAAGTGATTGGAACACCTGAATTTAATGATTTGGAGGGGTGTCCCAGTACTTTTGCCAATATAGTGTATAATGATTATCTCCCAAAACATTGGGAACAAACTTGGAGAGACACACATCCTCTTATAATGGTTGCTACACCCCTGTCTGGTACCCACTTTTTTTATATATAATTGATGCTTTTGCAACAATAAATAAAAAATACATTGAAATTGTACCTGTTCTGGGGTGCAGAAGATGTGCGCGTCGTCCTGGCAGAAGCGTCGGACTCTGGTTAAACCCCCCAGCGCCCCCGAGTGTTCATTACGGTGCAACGCTCCAAAATCTGCCCAGCGGATGGGAAGCTCACGCCAAGAACGCACCCTCTGCTCGTACATCAAACTGCACGGAGGACACAGTTACTGGACTGAACGGGTGGAGGATTCTTCACTCAATTCAAAGAGAGATGAAATAATGCAAAATGACTTTTTTATGATTTGAAAAAATTTATGTAAATTAGAATTACATACTTTCTAACATATACTACCGTGCAAAAGTGTGGGGTTGGTAAGATTTTTTTTTTATTGTTTATGAAAGAAGTCTCTTCTGCTCACCAAAGCTGCCTTTATTTGATAAAGTAATAGAAATAATTTACATTTAAAAAGACTAAGTCATTTTAAATTGAAATATTTCACTGTGATGCAAAGTGATTTTCAGCATCCTTACTCCAGTCTTCAGTGTCAAATGATCCTTCAGAAATCATTCTAAGAACATAATTTATTTGAAAGAGTACTCTTTTGTAACAATAATAATTAGTCACTTTTGATCAATTTAATGTATCCTTGCTGACTTAAAATGTTCATTTCATAAAAACAAAAACAACCTTTTGACCGGTAGTGTATGAATAAATTAGATGAGTAAAAATATTCATACCATGATCAAAAACATGACCAAAAACATGCACGTTTTTTTAAAGAATTATGAAATTTGTCAACGGTATGAATAGTTTAGTTGCCAAAAACTGAAGACTCAGAAGAAACTGTGGCGGACTCACCAGTGAGCGGGGCAGTTCATAGGTTTGAGAGCGAAGGTGTGCGGCTCACATGTCACTGTGAACATGTTCTCACTGTAATGCTCCCAGTGACCTGATCGCTCCCACAGAGATGTGCTGTACAGGGTTGGAGTCACAACCTCACTGAAGCCCCGCCTCCTGTACTCACTCTGACAGGAAGAGGAACTAGTTACATTAACATATGCCATGAGGAGCAGAGTCCTAATTTTTTTTTGTGGCCTTGAAGGACTCTGCGAAGGACTCTAATTGAAAAAAATCTCAAATCTTTGTAATATGCATGCATATGCTCTGAAGCCTTGAAATCAAAGGATTTTAACCTTATAAATCCTGATATATGAAATAGTCAGGATTTTTTTTTTTTTTTTATTGGAACAGTTTATTAAACCTTTAGACAAAATATAAAATAAAAAAAGGTTTGTATGTTTTTTGTTAAGTATCATATTTGATTCATCAGGCTTGTATGTCTCATAGTATGACATAATGAGGATATGGAGCTCATACTAGAGGAAAAAACACCACATCATTTTTGCTCAGTTTGGGCCTCTGAATAAATTATGAAATTTGTTGCAGATGCTGATATTTATATGGCCAAAAAGCAAGATGAAATTCTGATAGCTTGTAACGTAAATCAATGAGATCTTTAGAACAGCAGTATAGCAAATAGTCTTAGTAAGATGATATTTAAATGCTTATTTTTATGATCAAAGCTCTGTAGTTTTAAAGCATATAACGCAATGCAATACACTGATGATTGAGAGATGAACAAATACACTTCCTTCAAAAGCCTGAGGGATCATATTTGACACATTTTAGCATAAGTTTTCTAAAAAAAAAACATGTACGAAATCAAGTAAACCTAAGTTGCTTCAGTCTAGTAAGTGTTCACCTTGATATATTATATAAAGTTATTCAGTAAAAAGATATGTGAACCGGGACCTGAGAGTGGACATTTTTACAATTATAATAAAAGGTGATCATTTAGTGGCCTTAGAAATGCGTTTCAAATATATCAAATAGGGTTAAGATTATGAGAAACAATTTAAAGCAAGTGTGTTCAACTTTTAAGTGGTGCAGTCTCTTTGGTCACTATAGTGTATAATGACCTACACTTATGCTCACTTCAACTGCCCTACAATGACTATTACATACTGTAGTCCTAGTAGCATATCCACTCAATAATGTACATTATATGTGTGCTTATTCTCTTACAGAGTAATGCACCATGATATACTATTGCTGAATGTGAGAAATGGATGTTGCAAGCATATGCAAGTGCAAGGGTGAAACCGTGCTGACGTGGAACGAGTTTGTACCTTTATAAAGTCAGTGAGCGTATTGTATATATGAGCTCCTTTAGGCATGAAGAAACAGCTGCCAGGACTGACATCATGAAAGAAGAACAACTCCTGCGCCTGTGACACGAAAAAAACAGAACATCAGAGCCAGCTGGAAAAGTTACAAATAAACAAAACATTGTTCAAGATTTTGTTGCTCTCTGGTCGATATGACACTCATCTTGGGCTTATTCTGACACCTAGCGACATGAATAAAGCTTCATGCAAAAGCAAAGGCTTTCAGTTACTGACGACATTGTAGAAATGCTCTACTAGCAGTCATGGCTTGGCATTTCATCAATCCCAAATACAGATTCACCAATTATTACGTACACAGCAAAGCTTCAAGATAAAAAACAAAACACTTGTTTCTGAGGGCTGGGCTTTGACACAAATTGATTCGATATCAATTCATTTGGACATACATATATCGGGTACAGTACAAGGACATTTTTCTAAAGGAAAAAAAATCTGTAAATAAATGCTGTAAACTATACAGGGAACCCTGTCAGTTGGTACTTTAACTGATTTGTAGGCAAACAATTAAATTGCACATAAGGCAGTTTTTTTTATAACAATACTGTTATAATAACTTTTCAATGACATAATTATGTTTCTACTCCAATTTTTTTTAATTTAGACTAAAATTTAAGCAGCGGTGGTCAAAAACTTGTTTTCATGACAGATTTATTCAAACATATAATAAATATTGAAGAACGGGGTAAGAAAAAAAGGATAATATGTAATATGGTGCATATATTTAACAAATTGCTTCTCTCTATTGTTATTTTTCTAGCTGACTGACAGGCGATCTGACCAACAAACAAACCAGACAGCCGGTGGAATTAAACTTGAAAAATGTCTTTCCGCAGTTGAAACAACATACTTATGAAGTTCATTCATGTTTATTTCATGCTATAACTAGTAGTAAAGATAAAGAGATGATCGGGTCACATGCTGCTTGTACTGAGGTGCTACAGCGATCTGTAACAAGAGCCACAAAACGGTATTTGGGCCATTGACAAATAAAGCTTCAGTTTTTCATTTTAATGCATATTTTTGAGTCATGAACAATGTGTTTTAAATAGTGTTTAGATTCATTTTTTTGACTGTTTTTATGTCAGGCGGTACAACCAAATAGTTGCATGTGTATACTGTGGTTGTACCACCTGACATGAACAGCTGAGATGCTAGTGTATCAGCATGACTAAAAACACTCACCTTCCCGATTCTCCTGTGGTCTCTCTTTCTGGCCTCCTCCTGTTCTCTCTCCCATTCCTCTCGTTCTCTTTCTCCTGGAAAAGCAACTCCAATCATCCTGAGGATATCTGAAGCCTCTGTTGAACCGGACAAAGTTACAGGAGACACCTGAGAGGGAAAAAGATACGAGTAAGACAATTAAGAGTCTTAAGGCATATTTTTAAATGTGAGCTTCAGTAGATGAAGAGACTATTACATTTCTTCATAACACTACTATTAAAACATTTTGGGGTCAGAATTTTTTTTTTTCTGCAAGAATGCAATAAACTGATAAAAAGAGACAGTAAAGACATTTATAATGTTACAAAAGATTTCCATTTCAAAGTTTTTTTTTTACTTTGTAAATCAAAGAATCCTGAAAAATCTATATCATATTTTCCACAAAAATATGAAGCAACAAAACTGTTCTTAACATTGATAATAATCAGAAATGTTTCCTGAGCAGGAAATCAGCATATTAGATTTCTGAAGGATCATGTGACACTGAAGACTGGAGTAATAATGCTAAAACTTACTTTTAAAAGTATATTACAATAGAAAACAATTATTTTAAATGTAAAATAATATTTGACAATATTGCAGTGTTTACTGTATTTTTGATCTAATAAATGTAGCAGAAGAAACTGTATTTTTTATACATTTATGGTATTTTTTTTGTTTATTTTGGAGCGTGAGAGTCGTAGTCACAACAAAATGTCATTATATAAAAAGCTGCAGCTTTGTTTATCAAAAGCATGACGTAAATTTTGATTACATTAATGTACGAATGCATCAACATCAAGACTGGGCTAAACTCTCATTTAAACAAACACAAAAATGTGGAAGAAAAACAAAATGTTCCATTAATGAAACTGAACAAAGTGCCATGTCATGACCCTAAAGAGAGAATGACAGCCTGGGAAAAGGGAAGGGAGACTGTGAAACAGGAAGTGCCAAAGATATTAATGCAATAAACAGGAAGTTAAACATAGAACAACAATGTAAACACTATGACAACAGTCATTCAAGTAGCAACATCACAACCAACACATTCAGTCAAACACACTAATAGAGGACTGTCAGCAAAAACTGAGTTACCTGGAGCATCTTGAAGGCCTTCAGGAAGCCTGTGTGTGGCAGAAGAACACCTGAACACACACCCACACTGTCTCCACACCTGAAAAAGAGACACAAATAAGTCAGACGCCAAACACACACACACACACACACACACACAGGACAGTGAGAGTGACTTCAGACCTGTAGACGCTGACTGTTTCCCCCATTATCTGCTCTTCAGCCAGCTGCAGTCTGACAGCATCATCCTACACAAACACATTATTGTGCTTTATAATGTTTTTGTGCCTTTTGTGTTGTATAAAAATAGGATATGCACAATATCAGATCTGGATCGGTCTCGTCTGGTTGATACCCGGCAAAAATGTCCAGTATCGGAGCAATACCGATACGGAATTTTGCATCGGCGCACCCTTAAATTACAGAAAAAAATAAGAGTAATCCCTTACTTTACTTTTTCTGGTTAAAAGTGATTGAATCTGCTCTGAAGAATGTCGGGGGCGCAACGATCTCAAATCATAAACATTCAACATGTTGAGTCGGAAGTCGGAAACACTCGTTGTGTGGGGGAAATCCCGAGGACAAACGCGCACAATCGATGGTAAATAGTGATGCACCGATGTGAAAATTTGTGGCCGATACCGATAACCGATATTAATATTGCTGTTATGGCCGATACCGATATTTACCGATGTCGATATCTCTGTATAGAAAACACATAGCGAGGGTTAGGGCTGCACGATATTGGTAAAAAATGACATTGTGATATTTAATTTTTCTGCGATATATAATGTGATATAAAAACAATTTTACCAGATGACTTGAATAGCTCTATTTGGAAAGAATGAATCATTCTAGAATGACTGGGGTGGTTTTGTCATGGAGTAAATCCGCATGCATAGAATCTAATTAATAGAATGTTAACAAATATACACTTTAATAAATGGAACCTTATTGTAAAGTGTTTCCGATTTATGTCTCTTGAGTTCAGTGTTGGACAGATCAGTTGTTTTAACCATTCATTAAATTGAATCGGTTCAAAGGAGTCATTAGTTCGCGAATCGGACGTGTCATTAACGGACCACGGCACACGTTGTGTGATTATCCAGGCAGTTTAGGACATCGCACGAGATTTGTCTCGACCTATTTTTTACAGTCTATGGTCTCGACACAGAAAACATTTCATCACCAGATAGATTTTTGTTGGTTTATTGAAAGTGTGGTTTATGTCATCTGATCTGAATGTGTGGAAAGCTTTTCAGAAAAGATAGGGCAACGTTTTTTTAGCACAATTCACAACCAGTAGTTCAGAAAAAAAAAAAACTTTGGTCTTCCGACCTTTTACCATCGTGTATTCTCAAAGATATTCAGTCAACTCAATTCATAAACATGCGCAAGGGAGGGAGAGAGAGAAAGAGAGAGAGCGAGCGAGCAAGACAGTTTGAAGACGGCATGCGCAACCGGTGCATTCACTCTCTCGTTCCCTCAGTTAAACAAGCGCAGCAGTCACTCATTTACATCACTTACCGGTCAAATATGGCTTTGCGGGACAAAAATACGCATTAGGAAGGCTGACAGAACACAGCGCGCCAGTTCCAGTCTTCGTGCGCTTGATGTTGTAATATGCTCGTGCAAAAACAAACATCCCCGCCCCCACACTCACATCTACACGCACGTCAAATACACAGTAATGATCATCGGCCTGTTCACATCGGCCCTATTTTGACATCGGAACGATACTGATGTGTAAAAAATTGACCAAATCGGCCGCTTTTATATCGGCGGCCGATATATTGTGCACCACTAATGGTAAATCTATGATTTTTTTTATCGTCATGTTTGTTGCATTTTTTTTCTTTAGTGTGGGCCAGCCTTTACAAATCTGATGTGATAAAATCCACAAGAGAGTTTTTAGGAAGGCCCGTTTTACACACAAATTAGACCCAGTGAGTTTTTGTCAAAACATTTTCACATCTAAATGAGTAAGAGTAAACTCAATTACAAAAACATCCATCCACAGGCACGAGAACACTGTAAAGCTCAAGAGGTGATGCTGACCTGGAAGAGCTCTTTCAGTTCCTGTGCAGTGATCTCAAGCTTGATGATGGGCATCTTCCCAGCAGCCGTCTGCTTACACCTCTGCTCCACCTCCAACAGAGAGAGAGCGCTACGACAAACACACACAGCACCACTTCTTAGTTTTAGTTCAATGCGTTAAAAAAATACTGTACATAAGACTCTTGACTAATATCAGGAGCTGGAAAGAGAACAGTGCGTTTACTTGTTTTGTAGCTGATAATCGCAGTACAGGCCCATGTCAGACACTCCCTCTCGACACACAAGAGCACTGAAGTGATTCTCCATCACACTCCCTAACACACACGCTCCTGTGCGCCACACCACCTACAGCAGGGAAAATTCACTTTTAAATTACATTATTAAAGTACATAATACAAAGAAATCATATTTCTTTGCTATTTGACCCTCAATAAATATTTTTTTCTGTTTGTTCAAGTTGTTTCCCTATTTCAGTTTCTATAAAAGATCAAATCAAAATATATAAAAAAACAACAATTATACAAAAATATTGCTAATATTGTGACTTAAAGTGATTCAAATTAATATATTATTATTAATACAAAGAATAAAGAATATTTAACATAAAAATACATTATTTAAATACATAATTAAATAAATCATATTTTTTTGTTTTTGACCCTCAATACATATTTTTTTTCTGTTTGTTCATTTGCTTCCCTATTTCAGTTTATAAAAAAAGATAAATCAATAAAATAAAAAATATAAAAAATAACAATTATACAAAAATCAGCATCAATTTTATGGTAGTACGAGATTTAATATATATTTTATTCTTTTGATTTTAAGGTCAATTATATTACACAAACATGTTTCTGACAGGTTTTTTGTGAGTTTCACCATTTTAGACGAACGTCTTGAATACACAAAAGCTTGAATACCTGTTTCCCCTCCACTGAATCAAAACCCAGCAGCTGCAGTTCACAGTCCTCCACAAGAGGGCGACATAGATCCCATAAATCCCCATTTACTCTGCTCACCACTGCACCTTTAAAACTGTAAACACACACACACACACATTGGGTTTCTGCATTTTATGAGGAGTCTCATTAGACTATTTTTATGCTGTACAAACTTTACACTCTATCCCCTAAACAGAGCACTATCATATCACTATCAGATAACAATGTATGCTGTGGAAGTAAAGAAAAAGGTTTGACCAACTCAGTCTAGAAGGGAAAGATCCAGATGAGCAATAGCGAGAGATCCGAGATACTATCATCTAAATTGCTGAATATTATGCTTCATACCAAAAGCCTAAGACAACAAGTAGGTGGCTATCTGTCAACACCATTAATATAGCAGAACAGCGGCAAAATATGGGGGCAATAAGGACAAGGTTAAAAAGCTAAGTGCAGAGCTCCAATGCAAAGCTCGGAAGTACAAGGAAACACAGTTGGACGAACAATGTCAACATCTGGAAGAGGCAAATAAGAATGGTTACACCAGATCCATGTTTGCTGCAATAAAGATGATCCAGTCTAGTTTTTCTGCCCGAAAAGGAACGGTTAGGGATGGAAATGAACTCCATCTCTTGACCAATGAGAGATCAAGAACAAGTGGAGAGAATATACAGAAGAGCTGTACGCCAGAAAACCAAGAAGAAAATGAAAATGGCCAGATAGACAGGTAACCCAACATTTTGGAAGAAGAAACTGCATGAGCTATGATGAGACCTGCCAAATGAGAAAGCCCCAGGAATCAAAGGGATACCTGCAGAACTTTTAAAACCAGAAACAATCAGTGTCATCAAAGCTTTGTGCCAAGCGGTGTTGTCTGAAATGGCTAAAGGCCTGGACAAGACCTGTTTATCCCATTACCAAAAACAGGGATGGCCAAGATTTTTCCAATTATGGCACAATAAGCACTGATTACTCATGCCAGTCAGATCCTATTGAAGGTTTTCCAACGGCGGCTACAGCAGGTCATTGATCAGGAGATGCCTGATGTCCAAGCTGGCTTCAGGAAGAGTAGAGGTACTAGCTCATATTTCCAATATCAGAGGGATCATTGAAAAGACCCTTGAGTACCAGAAAGATCTGTAAATGTGTTTTATCAACTACAGCAAAGCTTTCGACTGGGTTGAACATAAGCTCTGGGTGGCTCAGCGTGAACTCGGCGTCACGTTTAATCAAGCTTATTAAATCAGGAAGCAGTGCAAACACTTTACGGTGATGCAGATTGGTTCAGGATCAGCAAGGGCATGAGACAGGGCTGTAGTTTGTCCTAATTACTTTTCGACCTCTATACTGAGGTGATTATGAGAAATTTAGAACTGGATAATGGAGTGAGGATCGGGGGAAGAACCATCAACAGTTTGAGATATGCGGACGACACAACCTTGCTGGCTGAAAGGGAAGAGGACCAGGGGGGCGTATTACAAAAAAACCATCTATCTTAAGTCTCAAGTTAAGATCTGACAAGTTAATTTAGGATTTTTTTTTACAAATTTGTATTACAGAAGCAAATCTTATGTTGATTTAAGATTCTTATCCTATCTTACAAAATCTCATCTTATCTGTAGTTAGGAAATCTTAAACCCCTCCATCGTGTTCGGTAATCAACTCTCGGGTCTGTTACCAAGCAATCAACTACGCGCAAACAGCTGTAAAGAAAAACGGAGAAACTCAGTTAATAGAAATAACTGAGATTAAAATGGAGAAACAAAATAAGTGGTGCTTTTCATTAAATAAAGTTTTGATAAGCTTGGTAGAAAAGGCAAAGCCTAATCATTTCATTTCATAGGAGTCTGTAATTATCTGTCAGTTTTGTTGTCAAAGTGCAGCACATCGTTTGGGTGTTCACAAAGTCTTTCCACCATCAGACATCGCTGTTCTTCATCTTGTATCATTAAAAAATATGTGACGTCATTCTCAGAAAGGGCTATTATTGTGTGGATTTTATAGTTGGCTTTCAAATGATTTCGAAGTTAGGACACCAGTTGGGTTGTCCTAAAGTTAAGACAGTTTTTAGGATTTTTTGGAGTTAGGTTGCTTCTGTAATACCATTTTTCTATCTGTAGTTAAGATAAGAAATGTCATTTTGTAATAGCTTTTGTCCTAAATGAGGTCCTAACTGAAATGACCATGATTACCAAACAGATAAGATAGCATTCTAAAGTTAGGATCTTTCAGTAATGCGCCCCCTGAACCATTTAATTTTGAAAATCAAGAAAGAAAGTGAAAAAACGGGGCTGCACCTTAACAAAAAACAAAGATCATGAATGCAGCTGCTAGTGGAGAAGTGAAGTTTAAAATCAATGATGAAGACATTTTATCAGTTCAGGATTTCATCTTCCTCGGATCAAAGATTGACCAAGATGGAAAATCCACCCACATTGGGCCATACTGCAATGGTTGGTATGAATAAGGCACCTGCGAGTGCAAAAACATCAGTCGAACTACCAAATGCAGATTAATCAGAACCATCATTTTCTTCAAAAACATTGTACGGGTGAGAGAGTTGGACATTAAGGTAGATAAAAGGAAAATCGATGCATTTGAAATGTGGTGCTGGCGGAAAATGTTACAAATACCTTGGACAACCAGGAAAACAAATCAAGTACTGGATAAACCAGGGATGTCACTAGAAGCTGAAATAAGTTGACTACAACTATTATTTTGGTTTAACTCCATGTTATGTGTGCAAACTCACTAGAGAAATCTGTAATGTTGGGGATGGTCAGTGGAACCAGAAGAAGGGGACTCAAAGAATGCAAGGAACTCGCTCGCTTGACACCATCAAAACAGAAACCAATAAACATTAAACAGTTGAAAGAAGCAGTTACACGACACAGGACAGCCTATTTTTCCATAGGGACGCCGAAGGTAGGAAATGACTGAATGGATAGATCAGTCAGTCTAAAGAGCATAATTTAGTAGGATTTATAAGCTGTGTTCCTCATTAAGACTGAGATTTTGTCCCCTCTGCATCAAAATCTTCTGGTTTTACTATCCTTGTGGAGACATTTGGTCCACAAAACTTAGAGAATACCTGAACCATACAAGTACTGTGGCTAAGACTTTTATATTGAAAGGGACTGAAACAAGGACAAAACAAAGATATCACTTACCTTAGCGGACATTCAAACTGATTTTGTCATCTGTACAGTATATAATTCGCTTCAATGTTCCTTCATTGCAAGTTCTAAAGTGATGTTTTAGAATAGTAATGGAGGCTTGTTGAGCTCAACTGTTAACCTGTCAAGTTGAGATTTGAATCCGTGGTAGATTGTAGTATTTCCACACAACAGAGGGTTTTTAAAGACACTCTGTTGTTGCTTCTTATTTATTTACACACTTGTGCCATCGAACTGTTGTATTTTGGCTCGATATCAGCACGGACCGAGCGATATCACACGGCTAACAGCAATGACATAACACATTCAAAGTTTTCCAGGTTTGACCTATTTTGTCCAGATTTTCATCCAGATCAATAAGTAGTGAAGGTCACTGGATATGATGAAGACAGTGTGTATCAGCAGTGTTTAGTAACTTGCAACCATCATCTCATACATGGTGTAATTGAGAGGTGCAAATTTAAAAGAATCACAAATTTATTTACATGACATTTACATTCCCATTCTATAGTAAAAGCTAAAGGCATGACATACAAAAAGGATTTTTTAGAAATAAACATTTAAGAGTAAAAAGAATAATTAGGGAGAATGAGCATTTTGAAGCGATATTCTAATTATAAGTACTACTTTTTAGGGGCGATATTTTTACCGTTCATTCTGGGCGATCTGTAACGGTGCGGTCACACCAGCGGAACCATTCAGTGTTCTGCCATCAGCCAATCGGATGGTCAGATTTTGTCCTGATGTATCCCCAGTCACCTGCACTTGCCGGTCACGCAGAGACTCAAATATCCTCAATCGCTCGGCCTGACTGGCTGACGGCTGTAGCTGAAACAGAGAAGAGTGTGTGTGAGTCCGGGATACAGAGATGACACATCAGTCACTGTGCAACTGAGACTATCATTAAATTACACTATGGGGAAGGTCTAATATCAGAAGTAAAAGTGAGTGGCAAAATTAAGTTAAGGAACAAAAAAAACCTGAATTTTTATGGTCTCACAAACTAGAAAAGAATTACATCACACAGATTAAAACCCCTTAAACATCTGCATTAAAGTAACACTTAAAGGTCGTCAGAGTGAATTACTTGACATAAAGGACATAACGTAATTATATCAGACTAACCATTTATACAGCCATTACATTACATTTATAACAATATACAATGAGGCCCAAAAATCTGAGACCAGTGACCACTAATGAAAATGTGTATTTTTCAATTACAAATTACCTATGAGCATTAGAATGAAAATCTTAAACAAAATTTTTTATATGAATGTGAGAATATCAGTATTTGGTGTATCCTTTGCTTTAATGAATGGAGCAACATGAACTAAACCTGATTATACACTCCAGCATGATTTGAGATGATCTAAAGAGCTGAAGAACATCTGATTGTCTGTACAAAAAGTCACATGGTCAATGTGTTAATTCTATTAAGTAGTTTTCCCTAACATATTAAATAAAGCAATTTTAGTGTGGTCTCATACTTTTGGTCCCCACTGTAGTACTGCTATCTATGTTACAGTAATCTTCACTTATATATACACATTTTCATATTAGTAATTTTAACTGAATGTTAATTTGATATATATATATATATATATATATAAAATGTAGCCCATTTAAAGAGGGTCTGAATCCAGACCATTCATTATTACTTTATACATGAACACACATACACGCTATTCTAGTTCCACGTTCAATAGGTCTGCTGAGAACATTGTCACAATATGACATGTCTGTCAGATCCTCATCATCAGTCACATCACACAGAATCCTGCACACCTTCCCGTAGTATCTGCTGCTCCGGACCGCTGCTCTCACTGCCGCCTGACAGACGGGCCACCTCGAGAACACGGCTACAAGCATTTTACACTCAAAACTCAAAGCTACGGCTCCATCATTTACCCTATAAACATCAAATGTTGCCCTCTCTCAGCGGGCCGCCATTTTACAGGAACTACTACATCGTCACAGAGCTAGAAACCCGATTCGCCGAGAGCAATCGAATGAGGGCGGGCTCTATGTGAGAAACAACCAATGAGAAGCGAAGCCAGAGGTGCGTCATGAGCGTCCACTCAGTGCGCAAGTAAACACAATCACTGACAGCTAAACGCTCCGGATTATCCTGCATATAAACAACATTCAAATAAACGGATTTTATGGAGGACTGAAGAGACAACGGTGAAGGTTTATGAACTGAATACTACAATTATTTCGAACCAAAGCAAGACAATATATTTAGAGACAAAAGCTCAAGTTAAAGCTCCATCACTTCTGCCTCCAATAGCCTGATCTTTCTTTATACGGGGTAAAAAAAAAAAAAAAAAAAAAACCACGCACTCAAAAAAACCCTGTTCTTTCTACAGGATCCTAGTGACGAAATCCAAAATCAATAGATTTAAGCACTCATTTATAAATGTATTAGTCAACAAACTGGTACACTTTACTAGTGAGTGCAGCTGTCTTCTGAGGGAGCCTATGCAACTTAGGGACATTGTTCCACAGCGTTTATATAAGCATTACCTATAGATAAGCAATCAGACTTGTAACTACAGCTTTACAGGCAATAAAAAAAAAAACTAAACAAAAACAAGCAGGTTACTGCAAAATTTAACTAATCTGCCTATATTAAACAATTAAAGAACATTATGAATGCGTTTCAGACACAGATCCATCTTAGTTTCGATTAAGCAATGTGTAAATCTGATTCTGCCTGGTCTGATTGCAGTAAATTAAACCACACTCCCTCACCATTAGCTTTCAACTACTGAGCAAACATACAGTATAAACTTCAAGGTACTGTGAGTGTTTATTTGCATGATCTATTGGTCACTGAGAAGGGTAACATGAAAGGGAAAATGTGTCATCCCTTACTGCAAAATGATTGGCAAATTCAACAAGTTTACAAGTGCACAATGTTTCAGATATGAAGAATGTCATCAAGTAATCACTGATTTTCGTCATACAGTGACAATGTTTGTTTGCACATACAAGATCAGTGACCATTAGGGTTGTCAATGTGAGAAATGGGGGTGTGCTCTAATTGACACTTCACATCAAGATCAAAGATGTTTAGTAGGATATATGTGTGCAGATGTTGTTTTTGTGTCCGACACATTCCCTTTAAATAAGAATCCACAATAACCACCACAATACGTGGTTCAAGTAATGGTGTGAAGATATTAGTAGTATATTCTGTTGTCCTAGTATGTGTCATGAACATGAATGCAAAAAATAAAATAATAAAAAGTAGAACTTGGGGTGTTAACAGTTGTTTAAATTGGCTGTTTGTTCAGTCTTAACACTGCTTACCATCAGTCATCAGTGTCATTACTGCAAGGCAACAAAATTCAAGTTTGCAGTTACCAATAGAACATAGTATTGCAAACAAAATTTGATTTAAATCACGAGAGGAGTCATGATGGTGTTGGGCGTTTAAAGATAGTTGCAGAACAATGATGCAGGTTTTGCCGTTTTTTTTTCTGATTACAGTACTGTATATCAGTTTAATTAAGTAGTCCACTCAGACAGCTATCTGTACATTTGACATGACTGAAAGGATCCAAATTTTAGTCTTTGACAGAATTAAGCAGTAAACCTGTGGTGCAACTGGTACAAAATGTATAGACGTGGCTCCAACTGAAGGAATGACTCAAATTTTCACAATTCTGCCACAACTGAAGACTCATTACATTAAAGGATTTGGCAGATTCTTAATAAATTGCATTCTGTTTGTACATAGCATGCTGATGTGCAACAAAGCTGCGATTACAAATATTTTAAAATAAGCCTGTGGGTTCTCTGAAATGCTCCTCGAGGAAAACACTCTACAATGAATTCAAATGTTGTCCAAAAGAAGACACTAAAACATGCCCTCAAATATTCAACTTTTCAGCAAAAAAAAAAAAAGAAAAAAAAAAGATTACAACTTTTTTTCTTCCACAATGGATGAAAACTCCAACAATGTACAGGTTATATTCACATTTAAGTTGTCAAACATCATTTTGTTGAAAAGCAGTGCATCAACATTGTTGTGAAACGATGTACTATTTTGCTTTAGTTTTACGAACAATGCATGTGAGACATTTTGAAAATGCAATGCATGGAAGTGTGGCTCGTAATGAACACACAGACAAACAGATTTCAGTCATGTGTACATAATAAAGGGTTAAACTAAGTGTCGTAATTTTTAAATTCTAGAGACAAAAAACTGGCATTTCGGATACAACGGGAAATTGGAAATAATTAAACCAAACTAATTCTTTCTTCAACGTTCATTTGAACCTAATGTTCAGAGCTGTGTATTTGAGCTCTGCACATTTCTGAAAACATGTTGGACATTACATTACGTTATAAGACTTACACGATAACAGAATTGCTGTTAAGTAAAAATAAAAAAGGCAGAAAATATTTCAGGTACATTTGTTCTTGAACAAAGTATGAGACCACCTGTAAAGAAAAGTCTCCTTCCTTTCAATAATATTTCTCATCACAATGCTTTTATTTATCAGAATACATGTAAGATCTATTGAAACTGAAGGGGGGGGGGGGGAAGCAAAAAAAAAAAAAAAAAAATTGATGCAAGGGAACTCTTGAAAAGCACTCAAAAACGTATGCCTTGAACACTTGGTTAGCTTATACTGTATGTAGTGTGAGCCAGAATCTTCACATCTTGGTGAAGGTTGATAAAGTGGCTGTATTTTAGCATTATGAAGCTTAAAGACCACTACAAGCAATCATGGTTGCCCAGCATTATTTTTATAACAATAATTTAATCACTCAGAAATAAAGCAAAGTTGAAATCCACTGGCTCTATGCTCGAAGTGAGAGAGTAACAGAGGTTAACAGACAGAAAACAGTTATCTGTAACCTGTAAACAGCAGAAAAGAGTATTTTACATGAGAAACAATAGAAAAACAAGTGTTATAGGGTGGGAAAGTGAAGGAAATTACTTGAAGGAAAGAGATAGTCAGCATATCCACTAGTCATCCATAATACACACTCATACACCCTCCACAAGCACTCTCTTACATTACACAAACTGAACAGGATAACCACCTTTTGCATTCCTTCATATGGATGTTTCTGGATCTCCACATTTTCCTCCTCCTAGTTCATCCCTAGGGTATCTGAAAACTTATCTTCGTCTATGAAGAGTAGTGCTGTAACATGGCTGCTCTGGGGCAGGGCTTGTCAGTGCATGTGTATTTACATGCAGTATAAGTCTCACGCTGCAATTCACAGGTGATGCTAGCTTGCTGCCTATTTCAGGTTGTGCAGAGCCTTTAGCACTCATTCTAAGATGCTAATATCGAGGGGGCAAGAATGGTCTTTTGGGTTGGTTGAAAGGCCCACTGCTGAAACTGCCAGCGGGACGTTTTGTCCCAGGCAGGAGGGGCTCACGGTTAAGGGAGGGGGGCAGGGAACCTCTGGGAAACTGTGGAGAACGGAGCGCATGATGCTGGTTTGGTAAGTGGAGGAGGGACAGAGGGGAGGAAGGGCGGCGGGGTCTCTTATTTGGGGAGTTGAAGGGTAGGCGGTTAGGTATGGACATGTGAGTACGAGGTTCACCTACTGGGGATGGAGGTGTGGTTGGGGTAGAGGGAGATGGTGGTGTGGGACTAGGGCCCTCTCGAATTCTGCCCAGGAGGGGTGGGGGAACTCCAGGGGTGCCAGGGCGATGAAGAGGTGGGGCGTGGCGCAAGGCAAACTGCTCTTTCACAGTGCCTGGCCGTGGGGGATCACCTAACAAGGAAGGGAGTTGGGGTTTGCCGCCTCTTGGAGGGGCACTACTACCGCTACCTCCAAGTCCCGTTCCATCGGGACGGAGATTGACAGGTGGGTAGGGTAGGACTCGATCTATGGATACAAGGACACCACCAACCATAACAGTTGAGGTTGGGGAAAGGTGGTCTCTAGGAGGGGGTGGGGTTTGAGGGATGGGTGGAAGTGGTGGTGGGACACGAGGCATAGAAGAGGGGAAAAAAGGAGGGGGATGATGGTGCTGAGGAATGCCATGAGAAGGCCGTGTATGGTCCTCATTTGCGTAGGGTGGAGGTGGGTACTGCAAAGGGGGCGGAGGATGAGCAGGGAGAGGAGGAGGAAGAGAAGGGACCAATCCCAATTCTTCAGAATTCTCATGGCCGTGACTACGAGGGCGATGTGGGGGTGGGGATTCCATAAACTCCTCCTCTTCATACCAGGCCCCACCAACTCTAGAACTAGCATTGCTTCCCCTTCTTGGGCCTCTTCCAACCAAGCGGATGCTTTCAACCGTCTGAATGCGGTTGCCGTAATCGAGGGTTTCGATTGCAACTCCCTCATTGGAGGATGAAGAAACAAGAGTCTCAATGCGATGGTAGTGGTCTCCATTGTCAGCCGAAGCTTTCCTCTCCTTGTCTTTCATCCCATCTTCAGATCCTCCACTTGACTTGCGAGAGGCTGCACTTTTCTTTATCTCTCCGTCCATCTTTGATTTTATTCTCTGATCCTGCAGCATGGCCGCTGATGGAACGTTCAAACCCACTCCTTTTCTCTTCAGCCCTTCTTCATCATTGGTTTTGGTCATAGCCTTGACTGATTTAGTCGCACTTGGGCTAAAGGCACCAAGCCTCGAGGGTGGTGGGGTGCGGTAATCTCTGTCTTTCCGCTCATTTTCTCCCAGAGCCTCTCGCGGAGTGATCACTGCATCCCAGGGGTCACTGTGATAGGCTGTAGGTGAAAGGTTATGCCCTCCAGACACACCTGCACTCTGGGGGTCATTGAGGACATGGGGTGAGTCCATGATTTCATCTTGAGTGGGTGTGCTACCGCTTTCATCTCGGACAGGGGTGCCGTCCAGGTTTTCCCCACCAACCAGGAGAGGGCTATTGCTGCCCCCGTCATCCAGGCCAAGTCCAAGAGCGCTGAAACCAGGATTGCCCTGAAGGAAACTATTGATCTTAGACTCCAAGCTGGGCACTGCCACAGCCTCACTTTCACATTCTGCCTCTTTCTCCTTCTTTTTTTCTCGTTCCCTTTCTTTTACTTTTTCCCTTTCCTTCACCTTCTCCCACTCTTTCCCTTTCTCTTGCTCGGACTCTTGCTTGAAACTGTTGCCTGTGGGCTTTAGGGTCTTCGGTGTTGTTGGGGTGGTTGTGGTGGAGGTTGCTGCAGCTTTGGTGCCAGCTGAAGAGGATGTAGAGGCAGATGAAGATGGACCAGGGTCTGGAGTGGTGAGAGTGCCTGAACGAGCTGATGAAAGGAGAGATGACAAACCTGCAAGATAGAGATTTAATGAATATCAAATAGTTACTGGTTTAAACAGGTTTCCCAAACTGTCTTCCACTGACAAACAGATTAGAAACCAATGGTGTAATGTGTCCTACCCTGCAGTTTGGGGCTGTGAGTCTGTGTTTTGGTGAGTACATTCAGGATGCTCTCAGGGGAGAAATCTACTTTAGACAGGATGTTGGCCAGAGGATTGGATGAGGGAATGCTGACAGGGGTTAAAGAAGGGGCTTTGGAGGAGGAGGCGAGGCTGGATGGTGTGGTAGGTGTGCCAGGGGAAGGACGGGACACAGGACTGACACCTGGGTGTTGAGAAAGAAGAAAACATGGTCATGAAAGGGGCTATAATGAACAAAGTCTTCTCAAACTCATTCAGTTGTATTTATTTTTTACTTCTGGAGCCTGTCCTGCAAAAGGAAAACTCACCAGTGGTTTTCATTGCATTAGAGAGAGAGCTCAGAATGGAGCTGATCTTGCCCAGATCCACATTGGCCAAGTTCACCGGCAGGGGGGAGGGACTAACGACAGGGGCTGCTACAGGTGTGGTGGTCAGGGGTGAGGTGTTTGCAGGAGGTGTTTGATTGGTTGATGACCCAGACACAGTCTTTGTGGGAGTTGCTAAAATCTGGGATGGTTTAGAAGCAGTGATCTGGGAGCCTTTTGTCGCTGAGGCATTTGTCATCTTGGACACAGAGGGAAGACTTGACTTTTCTTTCCTCTCATCAACTAGAGGACAAACGACAACTATGTCAGTTAAACATTACATTTACATAGCATACTAACATTACTGTGTTCCCCTCATCTCTGCTTTCTCTCACCAACGATTCCAGAATTTGCTGTTGTTTCCTCTTCCTCAGACATGTCCATGTCCTCAATATCTCTGTTGTCCTTCTGTTGCTCCAATCCTCTCCCCCCATTTCCATCCCCAGTGCCCGTATTCTTCCTGGAAATCATGCCATGGAAGGGTGACTCTGAGCCAGTGGGGGACGGGGCATCCTCAGATGGCGACGGGATGGGAGAGTCATCCAGACTGGGCAGTGTGGCCTTTAGAGCATCCAGCTTCCGCTTCAGGCTACACACGCGATTGGCAAAAGCTTTATAAGCCTATAAGAAATGGTGAGGGGTTTGAGAGAAGCATAATATGAGGATACATGATATAAATTGATAGTTGGTACATCAATAGGCCAATATCTGGCATTTTGAAACTCGCATCAGGCACTAACCATGCCCCCTTGGTTGATGAACAGAAGTCTAACCTCAGAGAGCACATTCAGTTCTTCTCAAATATATTTGGGTAATACATTGTGTTTGCCAAAGCAAGCATGTTCACAAGAATGTAAACAAATCTAGTACAGAGTTGTCGACTCACATTGGCAACAATTTTGACCTCCTTGTACTGCATCTCGTAAAAAATGTCTGCGTTTCCCAGCGCCTCCAGCAGAGGTGGTCCTGCCTTCATCTGGCCCTCCAGGAATGCCACAAATTCCTGCAGCTTTGTACCTCCCTCCTCAAAGTCCTTTGAGAATTTATTCCCTCCTGCTTTATCTGTGGATGTAAGGAGAGAGACATTTGAAAAGCCTATTTTCCACAGTTATATATTGCAGTTTTTGGGAAGCATTTCATTACCTTTTAACCTCTTGAGGGCCTCAGTGCTGCAGACGTCCACTCTGAGAGCAGTTAACTGCTTCTCTCTCAAATCACTCTCGTCTAAAGAGTGCTTGTATGACATTAACCGATCTACAAAATCATGTGGCTGACAAAGAGAAAAAGACATTAATTTTTAGTTTAATAATTAAACAGAAATAAACAGGCAGGAAAAGTTCTACTAAACCTAAAGACAGATCATGACTTACTACAAACTCTGCAACAATTTTAGATTTCAGAGCAGTTTTGGGGTTGACTGGGGCTGCAAAAAAAAAAAAAAAAAAAGGGTTATTTTTTTTTTGAAAGTTTTTCTTTTAAAACACTTCATTGTGAATTATTGGATAGCTATTTGTTAATGTATGCACTCTTCATTTATATTCCGGCAACAAAGTTTTCTCCGCAAACATATTACAATCAGTGTTTGAGAAAATTGTAGTAAGTACAATAAAAAATTGTTTTCCATTTCAAAAAAATATAAATGTCAATTACTGAAGGTAATTTTAGAAATTTGTTATTGCTTTAGTACAATGACAAATACAAACCAATTTTTTTTTTAAATAATGTTTTATTTGTTTGTTTATTGGCTTCAAATTCCATGCAAGCAAAAAAGTCTATTTACATGGCAAACACAAGGTAAACAATACAAGATATACAATTTACAGAACTATACAAGACATTTCTAATTAATCCAAGACAGAAATTTCAAAAACATTCTTTATTATATATAAAACATTCATTAATATTCCTTAATGCATTAAAATAGTTAAACGCAAATAAATAACTGAAGCAGGTGAAATTGTGTCATTAGTTAAGTTAGATGATCTTAGAATTCGGGAGATTATCACACTGAGCATTTTCAATGGCACAAGCACCTGTAACCCTGGTAGGCAGAAATTTCTATTTGAACCCTTTAACCCGATTTCGCTTCTCTTTATGTGATCAGATCATTTTCAGCCACTAAACTCTGCGAATGTTTTCAGTCCAATTATCCAGTAAGCGAATTATTTTACCCCTCTGGGGACCAAGAACGCGCCGGCGCGTTTTGCTGTTTTTTTTTTTTCACATAGCAGCAACATAGACTTAAAATACTCCGTCATTTATGGTCATATAAATAAAATCAATACATGATTATAAACTATAGAGCAGGGGTGCCCAAACTTTTTCCTATGAAGGGCCAAAAATCAAACTTGATTGAGGGCCGTGGGCCAAAAGTAAATTTTGCATCATAAATCAAACTGTATTACATTAAAGTTGCTATGGGTTTATTTATTAATTTCTCTTGTCTGTGTGCCGCCTTGATTTCTCCATTATTGCGTTTATTTTGTTGACGTTAATTGACATCAAGTGTCGCAAAGCACGCAGTGCTGCACCTAGAATTGGGCATTTACAGGAAAAAAATCTAATTCATTTACATTTAATTTAAACATTTAATTTCAGTTTACTCTGTTGTAGTTCAACAATAAAACAAACAAAAATGTTATGTCAAATTAGAAATGACGATCTGTGTCGAAGGTATCACCCCCCTCTCCCCTCTCCCCTCTCCCCTCTCCCCGGACGGTATGGTGGGCCAAATCAAAGGTTACCACGGGCCAACTTTGGCCCGCGGGCCCTAGTTTGGGCATCTCTGCTATAGAGGGTCTTCTTTTTTGTGTACACACATTAACATCAAAACCTTGTGTTTTTTTAAAATAAATAAAATAAACAGGGTGCGCTTTCAGCTCACTCTGTCTCCGTGAATCATGAAAATGTGAATCATGTTTCTCTCTGTGTGTGTGTGTGTGTGTGTGTGTGTGTGTGTGTGTGTGTGTGTATGAATGAATAAACGCACAGTTACGCACTGTTACAGACGAAATAAAAGACAAAATTTCGTTGACTAGTTTTGGATAAAGTTTTTCAAATCAAATAAGCATCAAATAAGCTTCAAATAAGCTTCAAAATAAAGACATCAAATAAGCTTTTGTTAGGAGTTTCTGGGGATAGACGTGTCTAGACTTATGCACCCTGTATTTTAAAGAAGAACATTTAATTATTTGCGATACATTATTCATTCACAAAGAATTCAGGGACATTATTCATCTCCCTAAAGGTTGGAGTTTTCCTCATTTTTTTAATTAAGGCATTAAGATTTTTTATTCCTCTTTTTAGTCAACTTTAGCATGGGTGTTTTCACTTCTAATTCTAAGCAGTGTGTGTGTGTGTGTGTGTATATATATATATATATATATATATATATATATATACACACTCACCAGCCACTTTATTAGGTACCCCATGCTAGTAACGGGTTGGACCCCCTTTTGCCTTCAGAACTGCCTCAATTCTTCGTGGCATAGATTCAACAAGGTGCTGGAAGCATTCCTCAGGGAGTTTGGTCCATATTGACATGATGGCATCACACAGTTGCCGCAGATTTGTCGGCTGCACATCCATGATGCGAATCTCCCGTTCCACCACATCCCAAAGATGCTCTATTGGGTTGAGATCTGGTGACTGTGGAGGCCATTTTAGTACAGTGAACTCATTGTCATGTTCAAGAAACCAATTTGAAATGATTAGAGCTTTGTGACATGGTGGAAGTAGCCATCAGAGGATGGGTACATGGTGGCCATAAAGGGATGGACATGGTCAGAAACAATGCTCAGGTAGGCCGTGGCATTTAAACGATGCCCAATTGGCACTAAGGGGCCTAAAGTGTGCCAGGAAAACATCCCCCACACCATTACACCACCACCACCAGCCTGCACAGTGGTAACAAGGCATGATGGTTCCATGTTCTCATTCTGTTTACGCCAAATTCTGACTCTAACATCTGAATGTCTCAACAGAAATCGAGACTCATCAGACCAGGCAACATTTTTCCAGTCTTCAACTGTTCAATTTTGGTGAGCTCTTGCAAATTGTAGCCTCTTTTTCCTATTTGTAGTGGAGATGAGTGGTACCCGGTGGAGTCTTCTGCTGTTGTAGCCCATCCGCCTCAAGGTTGTGCGTGTTGTGGCTTCACAAATGCTTTGCTGCATACCTCGGTTGTAACGAGTGGTTATTTCAGTCACTGTTGCCCTTCTATCAGCTCGAACCAGTCTGGCCATTCTCCTCTGACCTCTGGCATCAACAAGGCATTTCCGCCCACAGAACTGCCGCTCACTGGATGTTTTTTCTTTTTCGGACCATTCTCTGTAAACCCTAGAGATGGTTGTGCGTGAAAATCCCAGTAGATTAGCAGTTTCTGAAATACTCAGACCAGCCCTTCTGGCACCAACAATCATGCCACGTTCAAAGTCACTCAAATCAACTTTCTTCCCCATACTGATGCTCGGTTTGAACTGCAGGAGATTGTCTTGACCATGTCTACATGCCTAAATGCACTGAGTTGCCGCCATGTGATTGGCTGCTTAGAAATTAAGTGTTAACGAGCAGTTGGACAGGTGTACCTAATAAAGTGGCCGGTGAGTGTATATATATATATATATATATATATATATATATATATATATATATATATATATATATATATAATTAAAAAGCTATTTTAACCAGAAAAATCTACAATGCATGCCCAAAGTTGTGCAGCCATGTAGTTTCTCTTGATATCAGCATGTTCACAGGTGTTTATTATTTTTTTTTTTTACAGGGACAAAATGCCACTAATGAGTCCTGCTGACTTCAACATTCACAGGAGACTGTAATGAAAAATCAAACACCTTGGAAATGACAGGTATGTACTATGTTTCAGGAATGGGACCATGCTGTGTGACTGGGCAAGCCTCTGTCTTTAGATCAGTGTGTTTACTAATGTGCTTTTTTGTCCTTTGTTGTGTATCTTTGGATTATGTTGTGTTGTAAATAAATCCAAACAATCTAAAAGCCATTCTTTTTTAAATCTCATTCTTTGTGCAAGGCTCCTCGTAATGATAGGGCCTGGTAGCACCTAATAGGGCCATTATGGGAGGGTCATTGTCTTTCTCAGGTGTGAAATGCCATACATATTAATGAGAGATCACGCCTCCTCGCATAAAGCTTTCTCAAACAAAACACGTCATACACATTCTAAAAGACTTTATTGACTTATCTGAATGAGTAGTCAGGATGATTCTCACATAGTTTTGGAGCAAATATTCTAGACTATGTGATACAATTTTCAAAAGTCTTGTGAAGAAATAATCAATATGTGTTTTGTGGCCTTATTTCAGAAACTTTTATTTTTAAGTTTTTCAATAACCATGCATAAATAATATTCTCTCAAAAATACAAACATGTACATACATGTTGCTCACATATTATGGTAGCCCCGTTTGTGCTATATAGAGTGAATTTACACCTTTGCAATTAACATGTTTATAAATAACTGAAAAAAGCACAAATGTCAGTGCATGTCAAAACATCCCAAGGGCCCCAAAAAACCCTTGGTCCCCAGAGGGTTAAACAATCAGTCCAAAACAGCACTAATGTCAGAGATGGCAGAGAGAATAAAGACTTGCCTTCCATTTCAGTGAATTATTCATTCCAGTGTTTCGCTTTAAAATCACAAGCTCTGTCATATTTCGTGAGCGCGAGCCTTTGTGCTGTGTGAAATACAGACTGAACGTCAAAACATTGCACCACTGTATAGCCAGATGATACACATACTAAGTTTTTTCGGCTGGATAAAGCAAATCAGCGTCTTGCTAGTAAAGTTTTGATGGATGAGGATTGTAATCAAGGTAAAGACCATGGCAATGCAGTGCCTGAGTCTTACAGCAAGCAAGCACGCGCGAGTCTGTTATATTGATCCACGGATACAGTGTTTGTGCTCTCTCGTACAGACACATTTCAGTAAATTCACGTTGTATCCACACATATTCAGGTTAATTTATTGATTTGTCATGTGTATGTTGCTGTTTTTAATAATTCGAATTTGAAACCATGTATTGCAGTATGCATATGCAGTCAGGTACAGGCGGTTGATTTAGGCCGGGTCTTTTTTGGCATCCCCACGTGGTCCGGTTCGGTATCGCAACTTGACTTGTCTAAAATGTAAACAAGCTCTTTGCTGTTGCACTGTACATTAGGGGTGGGGGAAAAATCGATTCTTAGATGCATCGCGATGCGGACGTGGACGATTCTGAATCGAATCACAAATGTCAAAAATTGATTTTCTAAATGTTAACTGATGACGTAATGTTGACGGGACGCAAAAGGCGCCTGAACAGTCTGTGCACACAACAGAGACGCATGATGGTTGAGCGAGAAATCCCTCGCTTTAAAATCTAGCGTAACTTAGGCTTTAAGAAGGGAAAAAGGACCTGGATAAGAGCCACAATTTATGCAAGTAGGGCTCCAGACTGAGACCAAATGGTCGACAAGAGTTCGCACTGGTGTGACCACCACATTGTCCAATTGATAAGAGCTGCAACTTCTGTTACATACGAGAAACGTCAAACAGCAAACGAAACGAAAGTGAAACGAAACTGCGCTATTTGTTTGAGCTGTGGTGTGCGGGCCGTTTAAAAGGCAAAGCGGCCTTCACGAAATAAAAGTTTGGTTTTCTGTCAACTTTCTTAAACTTCATGGCAATAAGACTGAATCACTTACTCCTTATAGGCACTAACTCTATTCTCTCTAGGTCTTGCAGTGTTTTATTATCCATTGACGGTTCCTCCGTTTTTCCTTCCCGCCAGGTTAGGAACTTGGGGGTAATTTTTGACTGCACTCTTTCATTTGACGCTCACATCAATAGCATAACCAGGTCTTGTTATTTTCATCGTCGTAATATTGCTTGTCCATTCCTCACTTCGCGTAGTTCTGCTGTTATTACTCATTCGCTTGTCACCTCTCGCATTGACCACTGTAATACTCTTTTATTTGGTTTACCACACAACTTTCCTCTTTTATGGTTTATTGACATTATTTTTATTACTTTGATATTGTTCTTGATGCTACTTCTTTTCTAGATAATATGGTGACCTTGAGTGATTTGAAAGGCACCTTAAATAGGTAAATGGTGTATGCTTAATTTCACAATAAGTGTGCGATTAATCGGAAAGAAGGTCCCCTTCAAGATGATCATTATATATTTGGCGTCTCTGGCATTAAGAAGTTTAAAAACCTCTGCACTAGACTTAAGTCCAGCATTGAAACTTGAAGGAAACAGCTCAAAAACTTACCAGGAGGAGGGGGTTGCTCTTTCACTTTCTCTTTTTCTTTTTCTTTCTCTTTCTCTTTTTCTTTCTCTTTCTTCTGCAGACTGGTTTTCAGCTCAGTGATCAGCTCCTCAGGATAAACGTTCCTCTCTTGCCAAATACTGAAGATCCTGTCCACTGACTTACACACTTTAGCATCCCTACAAGCACACAGAGAGTCAGCAGAGAATATGCTTCTGCACGAATCACACTCAAACACACACACACGATATACTAACTTGACCAGCAGGGCAGCGTCTGGCAGCACGTCAGCGAAGGAGGTTCGGTAAATGATAGCGTTCTTCCTTTTGCAGTTCTGAATCACATCATTAGCCACGTAGAAGAGATTCAGCCTGTGACTGGCATCCGCTGCATAAAAAACAAAAGGAAAATGGGGAAAAGATTTGTTATTAGACTGCAACACTAGCATAATAAAAAGAGAAAGGAGGAGCATACGTAAGAAATGAACAAATTTGGTAACACTAATATAATACTCATAATTAGCTAATTATTAGATTATAGTTAATTAATTAATAGTTTATATATTGTAGTCTCTACATTGTTAATATATGTATAATAGGCTATAAAAAATAGTGAGTTCTTCATTCATTGTCACTGTAATTAACAAATTAGCACATATGTAAAGAGATAGATAATGTTTTATGCTTTGTTAAAGAGATAGTTGAAACTGAAAAATCTTTAATTAATTACTCAACCTTTATGACGTTCCAAACCCGTAAGACTTTCGGTTATCTTCGGAAATAAAAATCAAGATCTTTTTAATGAAATTTGAGCTTTCTGTCCCTCCGTTGACAGCTACGCAACAACCACTAAAGTGTAAACACTTTAGATCGTAAAACGAACCGATATGAATTGAGCGGTTTAGTCCAAATTTTCTGATGAGACATAACTATAAACTAATAGTTTGCAAGTACTTTGTAAAAAGTATACAGTAACAAAGTGCTACCAAAATTTCAACAAAAAGATCTCTACGGCCATATTTATCCTATTTCTGTATATGGTGCCGAAAGAGAGCAGCTGAAGTGAATCTGCCCTGAATAAGACAAATGCATCAGAGTGTCACACAGCGCCCGAGCTGCCCTCTCGAAGAACACTGCTACTCTGAGTGACTACGTCGTATGCCTGGATCCAAATAGTCACAATTTAGCAATTTTACATGGAGTTGCATATCGTGACTGTAAAACAATACGTTTCATAAAATTGAAAATCCATTCAATACTGAAGATGACAAGCGATGTTTAAATAGTCTCGCATTGTATGCGCCATCAAATTAAACATATGGGTTTTGGTAACTGTATAAGTTACATTATCAGCCTATACCTATATCAATTATATAGGGCTGCAAAATTCAAACATAGAACTTTTTTCTTAAAGGAGCTGTATGTAAGAAATTTATTTCAATTAATCATAAAATGGCCCTGAAATGTCACTAGACATTAAGAAATCATGTACATTTCAAATACTTATATCACTGACAACAGTAGTCTGGCCAGGATATTGTCATTTAAAAAGTGCAGTTGCAGCCCTCAACTGATGTTGATGTTGTCATGTTGTGTTTTGGTCTGATGCTCCACCCTCCACCTATCTACCAATCACAAAGTCAGTAGTGTTGCGGCATCCGGGTTGCCAGCTCTGCTCTAGTTACCACAGCTGCAGCTCGTCACGTTCCTGCTGGATCCTGCAGCCTATCTGGCAACCTCGAGTCAAGGAGGAGGGGGAGGGGATACACCACTCTACAGTAATTTGACAGTGATTGCAGTACTAGTTTTGGCCACAATCTTACATACAGCTCCTTTAAATTCGACAAATATGCAAATTCAAATGGAAAAAGGTATTTAAATTCAATATGCGTTGCAATCACTGCTTAGCACTAAATATACTTACAACATACTGTTGACAAAAATATGCTTAAAAAAACAACACTACAAGATATTATCAATGATCTAAATGCTTTTTGAAGAAGACACTTTAGAAATAATGATTGTTTCATATAATCATAGTCAATCTAAAATAGTTAGTCAGAACTGAACCACTTGAGCTACATGAACGGAAACTGAGTGAATGAACCAGTAAACAGACATGCTTTGTTCAACCAAAAGCATAAACATATGAGATTAATCACAAATACATAACATGTGCGCAAAAATTACACGTCAACCTGACCTAAGTTACATGCTAGTCAAAATGTGAGAAAGTCATGTTGTGATGCTCTTTCCATAACACACGACTAGACGGAGTGAATAACTGAAGAATACAGAATATCACAATACTGTATTAGCTAGGCGTATAACAGGGGACTGTTATAATTTTAGGAGACCAGTTTATATGTTATTAAATTGACATTTAATATATAAAGGTGGCTTTTTTCACTTTAACAAAACATTTTCATTGACTAAAATTAGATGTCATTTTAAGTCTGAGTAAAATTGACAACATCAATCAGACACAGTAGAATTATTCTGTAAGCTTAATAAATATATCATGACTAAAACCAAACAAAAAGTTATTAAAAAAAGATAAAAGATTCACACTGAAAATGGCCTTAGGGCCTAAGTGAAATCTTTTGATTTAATAATTTTGTGCATTTAATTTTTAACAAAAATTTGCATCTACGATCTACTTCTAACCAGACACAGATGTGATACGATTCCAATGACAACTTGTATGTCCACGCAGCAACTATGAGATGTGACAAAAACAATCAAAAATTACAGCAAATTCTATGACAAGATACAATTGTTGTCATTAAATACACTTGTTTGTTCAGTTTGAAAGCTCTCGTTTCCTCTAATTTAGGTGAATCTATTGTCGCTTTCATTATGATTCAGGTCACTTAACATGATATTCAAACACAAATTCAATTCATTTAGCATTATTAGCATTTTTAGCATAATCAGTACCTGAGATTATCATTGTCACACTTTGTATGTTTAATGCTGCACATCGCAACGCCTTGCAATATCTGAATGATTTTAATGTGATACTTCCAAAAGCTAAGTTTTAGGTTGCCGCATATAACAGAATAGACTGGGCACGCGACTGTTCCTTACGTGTGACTTGCTTGATGTCAAAAAGAATTAAGCGCAATAAGCTGCGGAAAACAACTCATTGCGACTCGTGCTGTCTGACACACACTCGAAGCGCAAGCTCAGAAAGCCGTCTCTCAGACAGCGTGCGATGTCAAAATGCCTGTCTTGGTGAGTATTCATGTAAACACAGTCAGTTTTGTAATAAGTGAATGTAAACAGTTGGGAAATAAATCAAATGTGTGTCAATAGGATCCGTGCATTAGGTCTTAAAGTGATAGCAGCCTGATACAGTAAACCCGCTGCTGTCTTTCAAACAACAAAAGAAAAAGAGAAAATCACTCACTGCTGTTGCCGGAATAACTTTAGTACCTTTAATATGAGTCAATGTATATTTAATTCATGTGAAGACTATGCAGTGTTTTAGTTTTACATTTGATTATTCAGTTTCTGTACTGTTTCTTTCTTGAATGGTACTGTTAAATAGATCTAATGTCGGCCCACCTGAAAAACAAAGCACTGGGCTAGGCTGGGCAATAAAACGATAACATATATAATTTTCCTTAACACGAGTTCAATAAATGTTTGATATGCATCAAAAGTGGAACGAACCCGCGCTACTCATTTGAACTGCGTCAAATAAATTACATATTATGTTTAGTTGTTTGTTCAGAATAGTGTTGGGACGATGGCTGACAGACATCACGATGTTGACAGATCGACATTAACAAACGTGCATTTGCTGAGAAAGAGATAATATCTCTAATAATATGTAAATAAAAGAACAAGTTGTCTTATATGTACACAAGCTTATTATGGTCACTTCTACTTGATACATGACCCAGGATATTAGACATAAATAATATTTTCCATTAATCCAACAATAAACAAAACTATTTTTTTGATAATTTATAACAACATTCATTATGAAACAGACCAGAGATGTTTTCCGGACCAAGACAATAGATCAGAAACATTGTGATATACATTAAAGTATTTGGTGAAGGCTTTTGGTTATGCAACAGGGTTATGATTGTTAATAGGGCTGCACAATATTGGAAAAAAATGAAATTGCAATATTTAGTTTTTCTTAATTTCACCAGATGATTTTTATTTAGAATTTCTTGAATATTTTTAATAAAAAACTACATTTGGAAAGAATGATTCATTCTAGGATGACTGGGAGAATTTTGTAGGATAGTGCATACGCATAGAAAAACTAATTACAAGCATAAATAAATACAATAGAAAAAAGATCAAAATTAAACAGTGCTTTGTTTTTCAGGTAAATTTAACTGTATTCAGGTGCAGACATTGAATAATCAAATGTAAAATAACACTGTCTTCACTCTTCACTGTATAAATTAAATATAGCAGGCATAAACTGGCAGCTGGCCAGGACGGATCACGGAACAACTAAGATCCCTATAATTGACATCACACATCCTGTTAAATGCTAAAACGATATATCGTGCAGCCCTAATTGTTAATGAAAATGAAAACTAGCAGTGAATCCAACACAAAATTCAATTTTCACAACAAAAATATAAATACAGTGGGAATAAAATGTCTACACACCACTGTTAAAACTTTTTGAGATGTAAAAATAAAGAAAATCATATCTACCGGTATACAGAAACCAACAAAATTATTGTAACAAATAGACTTTAAAAAAAAAATGATTACCTGGTTGCATAAATGTGCACACCCTTTTATAACAAGTCATGGTAATCTGTTTGGAAATATCTAATCACATTCAAACCCCTACTGAAAAGTACTTATATTCCTCTGGTCACCATTTAAATGCTGATTAACCCTGAATAAAAAAGTCAGCTGTTTCTATAGGATTGTTCTTTGTAAGATCTTTGTTGGCTATGGTTTCAGCTATAAGATGTGACCAAGGATGTATGTAATCTTATTTTGAAGAGGTACTAATCAGGAGAAGGGTACAAAAGTAGAAAACCATGAAGGCCAACAACGAGACAATGAGGCATCACAATGACAATACACAGAACAAGGCACCTGACCGGTCAAGAATTAATGTAACAAAAAACATTAAAAAAAATTATCAGAGAGGATGCCAAGAGACTAACAGAAACATTAAAGGAGCTGATAAAAGACATGATTTGTTACATTTAATTACCCCTCAGCAGATTTTTGACAGATTTTGACTCTTATACATAAATACGACGTGACTTGACTGGAGTTATGGCCCCGATATACTCACAGCAAAGTAGCATTTTTTTTTTAAATCAACCATTAAAGGAAGAAACAAAATGCAGTTAAACTTTACAAAGAGTCAGTGTTCTGGCTTTGTCATGA